GGTTTCCTGCAGCAGACCAGGTCTAGGCCCAAACGACATTACCGTTGGGCCCGGCGGCGCTCTTGAGGCTGCCACTCCCGGGTCTGATCTGAATTGTCAATCTTGACGATCCAGATCACGGCGCGCTGGGCAGCATTGAGGCCGACCGGCTGCCGGACGATACTTAGGCCGTTCCAGCGACCTTTCCTGCAGCTTGTAGCAGCGACATTGAGGAGCGACCGCGCTGTGCTATTCTGGGTTCAGCGCAGCGCTGGAACTGCAGCGCTAAGTTTAGCGCACTGCAGTAAGGAAGCGCGAGGAGGGAGACTTACCTGACAGCAGCCACCAGCGTCATAGCTCCCAGCAGCACAGCCATCTCCCGCAGCAGCCAAGGCACCACCTTGTCCCATCAGGTAGGGCCTGGCGCTACTCGTCATCTCCGCGCATGCTATGCCCCTCTCTTCTCCCTCTTCTTCTTCAGACTTCTCCTTCCTCTCCCTCAGACTTCTTCTTCTTCTTCTTCTTCTTCTTCTCCAGACTGGAGCCTTGATATGAGTTGGACAGAGATCAGTGATTAGACTTCGGTAGTAGAAGGCTGTGATACTTACCGGATTCGAGACATTGGACATAGTTGGGATGGATACCAGGCGGCATCACAGATCGGACACCGGTTACCTTAGGATTCTGTACCTCCGACATCAGTGACTTATGTCCACGACATTCTGATTTTGTTCGGTGACATTTTGGTCTACCATTTCGGTGACCTTCTGGATTCTATCTCGGTGACATCTGGCGCTGCCTATACCTCCCACCTCCATCGTCTCTCCTCCCACCATTCATCTGTGTATGATTGTACGGGGCCTGAAGCATCGTCTATGTATGGTCTTCAGACCCCCCTCCATCTCATGATTGCTTATGTGTTGAGTGATGTTTGGGTGAGTTCAGTCTATGTGAGTCAGTCCATTTCTCAGACTTCCGCTGTATACATGCTCATCCTATATTGGTTGATCTTTGGTTCGGCCCATACTTGGTGAAGTATTCACTAGTATGCAACAATACCAGTAAACAGTTCAATTCGTTATTATTGAAAATTTTCCATTCTGCATGTAAACCCAACAAAGGAGTTTATTTTTATTTTTTGATTAGTTAGTTGTGACAGACACTGCTAACAACTGACAGACAACTGCAGATAGGTAGTACATATTCCTCGCTGCATTGCAATCTGTCTCAGACTAGTCAAAAGTAGGAATAGAGTGGTTTGTAGGAATCTGAGATTATCTGCTGTTACCGCTTGACTACTTTCCCAGCGAGGACACTAGTGCAGATCGTAGGCCACACATAGCTCATGAGTGGAGATGACAGTGCGGTTGAGGGACTAGACCACGACAATAGGAGGCTTACCTGGAGACGTGCACTCAGTTGGCCGACCACTTTCCTAGTGTTAGAACACGGAGAGGAAAGGAGACTGCGGAGAGAAGCCAGAGAGAGGACCCTCAGGGCCTCAATGTTCGAAGAGAAGAGTTCATACGGCATGCATAAAGGTCTCTGTTCGGGTTAAGGAGTGCCCTTTTCCAATCTTCTGGGATTCAAGAAGGCTCGGATTGAGGACTTGAGAGCTTTGGGTTTTTGAGGAGGAGGGGTAAATTGATTAATAGAGTTCCGTTTTGCACATATAGATGTGCATACATGTTGATAGTGTATAGGTGTTGATAGTTTAAACTCCAGCTGATTTCATTTTGTTTCTCTTCTTTTTTCAATCGTTTTTTTGGGGGGGGCCTGCAATGCCACTATTTTTTCAGTCAGCCTGGAAGTTCAAGGAATGCCCTCGGCAGTTTTTTTTTTTTTTTTGTTTTTTTTTCCTCGGCAAATTTCCATGGCTGGCCATGGAATTCATTTCTTTTTTAGTAGCCAGGTATATAATTGAGCGTTCACAAGTCCTTGGGGACATCCGATAAAATTGGCAAGATACAGAGTAGCCCATTGGGGGGGGGGGGGGAAGCATGTCCCATTCCATCGCATAGAATCCTTTTTTTTTCTCTCCTTTAAAGACAATTAAAAAAAAATCAATTCGGATCTCAAACAGACAGACCTCAAGCTCGCCCTGTTCACGATCCTGAAATTGAAATTCGTTCATACCTTCGATTGCCGCGTAAAATTTTGATTTTTTTCTGACCGTCCACACACTCAATTACATTCGATACGGCGGTATTATGTCCATGTTGTATTCTCAATTATATACCCTCCCCCTCCTCCCTCTTTCCCCCTTCAGAAGGGGAAAAAAAAAAAAAAGGCCAATTAGAGCCACACACAGCGCTCAAGCAATTGCCGATCCTCCATCTGAATAGGAAATTCAGCTATTCACAGCATCATTGACTATTGCCAGACTTACCTCTTTTGGCGAGATTTGCTCACCAAATAGGATAATAACTTTTTATTAGTTTTTAATAAGTAAATAGATACAAAGACCAACTGGAGATGGACACCAGGAAGAAAGAGAACTGCCTTTCACCATCAACAGTCACGCAAAAAGAATAACGGACCAAAAAAAAAAAAGAAAAAAAAAAAGAAGAAGAATGTAACTCACCCATGCCTGCTGTTCCCTCACCCCGTTACTATTTTATTTAAATCATAAATTACCTCCTGGTTAATGAACTCATAAATTCATTGAAAATTCACGAGTCAACAGCCACCCACCCAGACAGAAAAGTGCAACGCGCCCACCCCTACTGTTCCCTCACCCTGTTCGTATACTCTCCTGCTTATTAATTAATTAACTTAAATCATTAATTGATTCATTTAGTCCCTCTGATGTGGTGTATTAAGTCATACTCCACGTATCCCATCCGGTCGCTACTTCGTGGTTCTTCCAAGGCCGGTTATTGACTTCGTGGTTCTTCAAGGCCGGTTATTGACTTCGTGGTTCTTCAAGGCCGGTTATTGACTATATCGACTATGGTGGCATCTTCTTGATGTCATCTACCTTTCCCTCCTTGGTTTGGCTGTTTCATGTATAGAGCCGCAGTGCGGCAAAAACAGGCTAGGAGGTAGTGGTGATTTAAGAGCCGTTGCGATCGGGGGTACTTTATGGTTCTAATCTTGTCTTTGTCTATTACCTCACCTCTTTCATCGCATGATGCACGTATCTGAACAATTGGCTGTGACTCTCGTATGTGCTTTTTATCGCTTTCACACCTTCACACCGTGCGGGTCATTGAACTTACATCCCGGGCCCAGAAAAAAGTCCCGACCCTTTTTTTTTCTTTGGACCGAAATCATCGTCAGGACTTATCCGGTTCCCGCCAGTAGGTAGTATGGATTCCGTACGTCAGGGCCTAAGCCCTCCTCCGTACACCTGCACGGATTCGAACGGGCGACCTCGGCCTCAAGAGCCAAGTCTTTTAACCACTACAGTCGGGACACTGTGTTCAAAAGTGCAATCGTATTAGGAGATTTCGGCCGTTGATCTTTGCTATCTACGGTCAGTATCTCTTAATTCGTGCAAGTGGGACCTAGCCCCCGCGGCTCGGTCCCGCCTGCGCATTTTCGTTGTAGGAGGCTATCACGAAGCGAATGGCGGGCGCCTAAGGACCATGGATTGACACAATCGATGGTCCCTAGACGCCCGCCAGTCCCTTCGTGGTAGCCTCCTACAACGGAACGGAAAAGTTCAGGAGGGACCGAGCCCCGGGTCATTATATACTCCCCACCCCTGCAAGGCTGTAGTGTCCAACTGAACACACACCACAACCACACACAACACCCACGGACACGGCAATTCTCGCACACATCGCTCCGTAGTCAGCAAGTAACCCCGACTGGTACTCTTATCAAATCAATGCCCGCGGTTCACGGGCGCTTCCACAGTAGGTAGTACGGATTCCGTACGTCAGGGCCTAAGCGCTCCTCTGCGCAAGCACGGATTCGAACCGGCGACCTCGGCCTCAAGAGCCAAGTCGCTTGGCCAGTACCACCAGTAGGAGCTGACGATGATTTCGGTTCAGAAAACAAGCATCGCATTTTTCTTTTTGGCCGGGGACGTCAAAGTTGAATGGCCAAAGGATAGCAACACAAAACAACAACACCCGTCTTCTTTAACCGACAACAAATGCTTGTGCCCCTCTCTTCCCTCCCCTTCCTCGGTAATATCCCATACGTAATACATGCCAATGCACGAGGGGAGCATCAATTTGAAAGCAGGGTGCTCAACTTTTCTCATCCCGAGAGGAAGGGGTATTTACCACATGATGATCGAGAGAACATGAGAATGGAGGACAAGTTGTGGATCGAAAGAAGAGGCTTTACACGATGGGACAGGAGGAAAAAGGGTGTTCAGGGGGCGGAGAGGAAGAGAAGGGAGGGGGGGGCTTGGGGGTACTGAGTGGGTGGGTACTTAAAAGCTCAGTTGCCGAGAGGAAGGTACAGGAAGACTTGCTACGGAAAGAGAGAGAAGAGTGCATATGCCATTTCGTCTCTCGAGAGCGCGCTGAGGAGGATGAGATGCACCCAAAAGGACCAACACAAGAGCGAATCAAAGCGCGGAAATGGATTTCCCACAACATGAAAGAGGAGAAACGAAGCCCGAACCACCTTCCACCCTCTTCATGCTGACTCCCAGAACGAGAGACCGAACGATCAAGCGAGCGAGCGAGCGAGCGAGCAAGAGAGAGAGAGAGAGAGAGAGAGAGAGAGAGAGAGAGAGAGAGAGAGAGAGAGAGAGAGAGAGAGAGANAGAGAGAGAGAGAGAGAGAGAGAGAGAGAGAGAGAGAGAGAGAGAGAGAGAGAGAGAGAGAGAGAGAGAGAGAGAGAGAGAGAGAGGGGAACAGAAGGAGAGAGGAACAGAGAGAGGGAGGGAGGACCCAGAAAGAGAGAACGGGGGGAGGAACAGAGAAAGAGAGAGAGGAGCAGGGAGTAATACTAGTATACAGACGATAAGAGGAAAAGGATGCCCAAGGATGAGTTGGCGAGCTCGACAGAGAAAGAGGGGAGCTGGGAAAAGAGTATTATTTAGTAGTAATTAATACCTGTGCATCCGCATGGCGACACCAATTGATCTTCGTTGGAGGCTTGATGCGCAGCTGATGACTGAAGCAACTGCGATGCTTGCTGATGCGGGTGCTGCTGGTGTCGAGTGGGCGGATGAGACCCCTTCCCCTCTTCAGCGGCGCACGGCGACGGACAAGCGCTCGGCTCCAAACAGATACGGCAAATCCGAAATCCATCGTCTGGAAACAATTCACCCGCCATTGGCGACGGATCCCGCGATGATAACCGCGAAGATAACTTCTCGCATTCGCTCTCCTCCGTCTTCCGCTTCTTTCCGATCAATGACGGAGCGCTCATACCGGCTAAAATGCCAAATAAGAGGGGTGGAGGAGCGGTCCAATGCTCCCCAACGAAATCGACCACATGCACGACCTCCTTCCCTTTTTTTCCGATCTCGATACCGGAAAAGCGAGCCGCAGGCGGAGGACGGACGGGAGGAGGGGCGGAGGAGGGGCGGAGGAAAGGGGGGGGGAACGGGAAGACGAGCAGACACGACAAAGACTTTTCTACTCCACGAGTTTATTACTCGTATATTACTAATCACCTGTTCAACGATCACCTCCGCAATAATTCCTTCCCTACCCTGGGCTACGCGTGCTGACGACGGTTCCAACTCGTGGTTGGGATGGAGGGCAAAAGAATGGATCACCGAATCGATCTGATTAAATGTCTGTATTATTAGACATGTAGGTCTCCGACAGTAAACCGGGGGCGCGCCAACCAATCAATCAGCGAGTCACGTCAGCGTTAGATAAAGCTCCACAGTCTGGCTGGCGTGCTTGTCCTGAACGGTTGTGATCCGATTATGATGAACACGTTAGCTCGCGATGATGGTGATGCTGGTGATGACTGTGCAAACACCGGTGATGATGATAATGGTGAGATGGTAACCAGCAATGATGGTGATGCTGATAACGACTATGAAAATACTGATGATGATGGTGATAATGCTTGTGATATTCGTGATGACAACGAAAGACGATGAATGGAAATGGTGCCGATGATCAGGAATGATTGATTGGTTCGACAAAACACAGCGACGAGTTGTGTGGAAGAAATTTTGTCTAGTGGCCGCCACACCAATCACACGTGTCAGTTGGTGATAAACCAATCAATTAATCAACCAATCAATCCATTAATCAATACGGCTCTGAAGCAAGCAAGCAATTTCTTAAAACTCAGTCGATTCAGAATAATCGACCACTGGGAATCGATCTTGCGATCACTTTTTTCGGATCAGTCCTCTCTCAATCGCATCGCGAAATCGTTTCGATATGTAACTATATCTAATTTCATCTTTTGGCGCCTATTTAATTTCGTATTTCGTGCCTATTTTATGTATTTTCTTAGGGCTCTTACTTCGGTCCACGATAAAGGAGTGCCCGATCAGCAATCGGATTGGTCGAATGACTGCTAAAGAAAGAGTCGACTTACTGTGTGTTTATTGCCATGGTCGAAATTCGAAAGCTGACGAGACCACGCGCGAATGATCGTTTGGACACTTCAGCCGAAAAACGTTTGTGAAAAAAAGAGACATGCTACACTCTTCTGCCCAACCGAAGTCGACGGGTACGCCAAAATGAAAGGAAAAAATGGACTCGGTCAGATCAATACAGTACGTTGATTCCTCGTTGGCCTAAGGACGGAATGAAAAAGAGGAAAGAGAAATAGTGCGGGGTCTGGTCGACCGCTTCGCCTAATGGAGACATCGGCCTATTACTGTATGATGATCTCTTACTCGCCTGATGGCGACTGCTGCTGCTGCTGGCTGCACTAGCTGCGGGATGCATTGGCCGCAGCGCATCGACCAATCCACGCGACGGCTCACAAACAAGACGACAGGTAAACACAGAGAGAGAGAGAGAGAGAGAGAGAGAGAGAGAGAGAGAGAGAGAGAGAGACAGAGAGAGAGAGAGAGAGAGAGAGAGAGAGACGAGGAGGAGGGGGAAGAGGAGGAGAAGCTGCTGTTGGCGTGTTTCAGATCGTCTTGTACTACAAATGCTCACCACACTCCGCGGACTTCTCTCTCACTCCCTCTCTTTCTCCCTCCCTCCCCCGACCCTCACGTGCTCGCGCGCTGTCTTCCCCTCCCTCCCCCCCCGCCCCCCCCCCTCTCTCTGCCTCAGGTCCTTACGACGTGCAAGTGTGGCCAATTTGTGCGCTGCTGTTGACGCAACCTATCGTTCTCATCACATGTACAAACGAAGTTCCTGATGGATGGGTTCCAACGACGGATGCGCAAAACCATACACCCCAGCGCGCAGAAGACGCCCGCGACGAACAAAAGACCCGCCAAATGCAAGCGCCCTTCTGAAGTCGTTCCTCACGTCAGAATCTGATAACATCCGCATCATCAGCCGAAACGGAGGTGCTCCATCCGAAGCAGCGCCCTTCCTCCCTCCTTACTTACTCGTTCTGCATCCTCCTCCCTCCTTACGTAGTCGTTCTGCATCCTCCTCCCTCCTTTCTTTGTCGTTCTGCATCCTCTTCGGTCGTAGACCCTCTTCCTCTCCCCTCCTTCCCTCGCTACCTTCCCTTCCCCCCTCCTTCTCTCAATCCTCCCCGACGCTAGCTGTGTAAAAACATCCTTGCCTCTGCGCTTCGCTAAGCGCGGCGCACGTGCGTCAGAATCAGTCACATCACAGCTCTTTGGCGCGTAGCCAAAGAGCGCGAGCTACGCGAAGAAGACTGAAAGTCATCATTTACTACACCAAGAAGAAGGGAGAATTCCCCAAAGACGGACGCTCGGTTCTACTCTTTTCGTTATGTATATGTATATGTATATGTATACGTATATGTATATACACCGCCTTCTCAGAGTGGCCAAAGAAGTACGTGGAATGATGGATCTATAGTCGGTGGAAAGAACTATGTTGTGATTGATTACTCCGTCACTATGTATGTATGCGGACATTTGTTTACCGTATCTTTACGTGACACACTGATTACTATTATGCATGTGCACACATCGATCTGTACATCAGTCAGCGGATGTGCAGAGATATTTGACAAGTAGATGAATGGATGGTGGGAAGAGAGTGTCAAAACAATGTATATAAGCAAAACATACAACTAGCAAAGACGGCTTTCGATGACGAAAAAGAAGAGGCAGCGGGGTGTGCTAACGCTAGCTACGCGCCGAGGCCACGTCCCTCATCTTCGTCAGTAGCATTCGGCAGAGCCATGTCAAGTAGTGCTTTAGCTATGGCTCTTCTTTCCTGTGATCTGATGTTAAGCGCCCCCTCCCTCTCCCTGTCTTCACCGGGGAAATCCATCTGGTCTGATCACACTCTCCTGCCTTCTCCCCTTCGTTCACTCCCCTCCGCACCCCTCCCCCACCAACGTCATTTCTTTCCCGCGTCAACGAGATATCTTCTCGACCGATCGACGACAAAAAACATATTATACGAACAAACGAGCCTATGGCAGACCAAGTTGCCAACCTCCGCTACCGTCTTCCCCCGAACACAACGCACCCTCATTATGGCTGCATCCGACCGAAAAGATGGTTTGTATACATTCACAATCAGGGTGCGTTATGTTTGGGGGAAGACGGATATCCCCCGCCCTCGCCCCGTTCCCAGGGCCCGCACTCACAAGTACACGTGGCAGCCACTTGGGCGCTTCGATTCGCACTCCGCTCCACGGTCGGTTCTGACTTTTCGGCTTTGCCTGCTCTATGGGCCTCACTCCAGACTCACCAAATGTGCAAATTGAGAATGAATCTTCCACTAGAACATGGAAAAATGCCCCGCCATATTTTTTGTCTAATGTGCATGTGGAGAGTAATGGAGCGAGGCCCTACATACATATCGTATCAGACCCGGCGAGGCCCTACATACATATCGTATCAGACCCGGTAGCGAAAGAGGTTGTGCGCACCTGAACTGGTGGGCGGTGTGACATCCTTCAGGTATGTCACACGCACGTCAGGCGCACCTCGCAGATTCGCCCATGCCGCTGCTCCCCTCCACTAAACTCCGCCTTCCTCCTCGGAGCTCAGCCCTCGGGTCAGACCGTCTATACGTTGGTGAGCCGCCTGCCTGTAAGCTATACGGACCGCCTCTGCCCCCTCCCCAGAGCCCTTCCCTCTGGGTCGCCCGAATCTGGCGCCCTTACCCCTATCCCAGCCACGGCCCAGCTGCTCGGGTCAGCTGGCGGCCCAACGAACCGGGCATGCCGATTTCCCCCCCCCTCTCGGTACCACATTTCTGACCCGCTTTTGCCCACAGCCCCAATAGACCTAACACGCTGGTGCAGGGAAGGTAAGCCACAGGCAAAGGACCTTCTGGAGAAACACAATCGGCTTGAAGCCTTCTTTTCTTTACCTGAAACCACAAGTACCTCCAAGAATCTTCGTACCAAGACCAGTAACACCACCACTCCACCTGAAGCCTCCTTTTCTTTGCCTGAACCTGAAACCATCCACTTACCGTAAGCGCACTGGTGCGCAGCCCGTAGTTTCTGTTGATGTGCTGGCGAAGGGTAGGGTAGAGATTATGCAGTGTTTATGTTTTGTTTTGTTTTGTTTTGTTTTATGACAGGCCTGCCAGCACCTGACCATTTGATCATCTCGATGTATCGCCTAACCGGTCCCCTGTGAGACACCCTCCCACCCTTACTCATTGTCTCGATCCCCGGCACATCCCTACTCCCAAGGTCCTACCTGAGTATACCCAGGATCATCACCCATTCCAATGATCTTTGAACGGACAGCGGTTATAGGCATCAGGCCTAAGCAGGTTCTCACCTCCCTCCCCAACCCTGATTAAAGCACTATCGAACACGCCACGTCGTACCGGGCACTTCGCCCACCATCATTTGTTCACCATAGTTTTTGTTGATGTGGTTGGAGAAAGGTAGGGTAGTGATTATGTTGTGTTTATGCTTTCTAACGTTCGTTGTACACAACTCCAAGAGTGTGTGTATGCACTTGTGCGTGTGTGTGTGTGTCTATGTCAGAGTGAGGGTGTGTGTATGTATGTGTAAGAGAGAGAGAAAAACCTTCAGCACAAAGCGTGTCAGTGATCAAGAGCACAAGGGTCGGTGCTAACCTCGAAAAGAAAAAGAAAAAAACGTTGTCGAGCGCATCGGTCTCACAGAGGGGACACTCCCGACCGCGTCAGACACGATTTTGCAGGATTTTGTCATAGAGCATTGCTGCTCCGGCCAAGTGCGCCAGCCATACCTCTCACGATCCCCTATGACAGGATAGGGTCACGCGAGGTACAACTTACGTCCACGTGTGGGAGTTATCACCATCCCTTAGGGGGGTGTATCCTTGTCGAGTTACCGAATCACATGCTAAGGTTTTTCGTATGCAATCACAGAGGTGGTCTGATCGAGGGCGTTTCTTGTTCATTGTTGCATAGGGGGTACGCGCGGTTAACGCTTTAATCGGACCCGTGCGAGAATCATCGTCCGAGGCATTGATCTCCCGAACTCGACCATACGCTGGTTGACTAGGACGGTCAAACCTAACCACGTACTACATCTCACGAAAATAAAATCAAACTCTCGTACGTAAACCACGGCTAGTCTCTTTTTCCACACTTCACTCATAACTTTTACTAAAAGGATCTGATGAGTATCGTGCGCGAGAATTTGAATAAATATCGTGGCGATGCAGACCTTAGTCATGTCGATTAACCATACATGAATACGCAAGCAGCCGCATGGCCTTGAGGGTCCCTTTCGATAATCAAGTGTTAACTAACACGAGGCTTGAGGGGTTAAACTCTTGAGGCTAGACAACCGCTAAGACTGTTAAGAATCTTACCCTCTTCGACATACTGCGCAGATGGGCAATAGGCGGGCTTTGCCCCTTTGTAGCAGTTGAACACCCCTAACATTGAAAGTGGGGTTCCATAATCTAGGGACTGGAAAGAGGTCAAGGGGTTTAACTTTAACAACTACTACGGACCTTAACGTCCAACTATAAAATTCTAAAGAGCAAAATAATAAAACAATTTTTTTTTTTCCTCTTTTAATCACTATGCACATTCGCGGTAGACCACGCAAATACTCATCATATGTACATAATAAGGTTATAGAAAACGAGGTAATCATTTTCACAATCACAGTGTGACTCTCTTCAAAATATACACATAAACGTATGAAAGTAAAATCCGGACTTCAACTCACAAGACATACCTGCAATCAGATCATAGATTTTCACATCGACAGAGCATACACTACACGGGTTCAACTTCAACCACTCTCTGTGCTCACACCCCTTGCCTTATCCGCAAAAATCCTAACATTTATACATCCTTCCAAAAGAAAGCACTCAAGTCCCTTTTTAAATGGTTATTTAATAAAAGTCAGGGTAAAACCTAAAGAAACATTCCAACTCACAGGGGCTAAGGTCTTAGGTTGAGTATTGAGAATGAGTTAGAGTTGGACCAGAAACCGACCGATCATCAAAAGATAACAGAAGATGATTCTCGTAGGATCAGCTTGAAAGCAAGTCAAGCCTTGATTCAATCTGAGTAAAAACGATATGCAATACAACACAGGTCAATGTCCAAGTGATGCTTGAGTGATCATGAAATATTTATACCTTTTTTATCTCATCTATGATACTTATCTGAAAATGTAAGGAATTTCGACAGTATCTCCTTCACGCGAAGGTAGACTGTCAAACTCTCAAGGTTCTTAAAATATTTTAACTCCTCTAGATTTTGAAAAATTTCGACAACACTTCCCATTGGAAAAGTACCATTGCATAATTTATATAAGATTGAATATAAATTTTGAAAATAATTTTCTAACTTTAACAATCAAATTATGTCCAAC